CGGGTGTGTGCATGTGGCATGTGTGGTGTACGTGGTGCATGTGTGTGTGTGCATGCACGTGGTGTGTGGTGCATGTGGCCCATGTGGGTGTGGGGGGAATGGGAAGTCTCACTTACGGATCGAACCACCTCGCTGATCAGGATGGCTGGGGTCCTCCTGGCTGAGCTGGACGGCAGGATCCAGCGACTGTACAACTCGAGCAAAAACTGTGAACAGGAGTGGATGTCAACTCCGGCCCGGTGCTTCCTGCGGAATATGTGAGGTGGGTATTTTCCAGGTGCGTAAAAGGAGAGGCTCATTTCAAGAAGCACCTCAAACAAATCAAATGACTGATTAAAAATTGTCAAATTTCTGAAAACCTGGAGTTGACTGGAGACGTGGGCGGTGATGAAGGTGCGGGGGTGTCGGCCTCCTCCTCCTCCTCCTCGCCCCATTCCTCCTCCCTCAGGGGTGTGATGCTGTTCCCCAGCCACACAGAGTGTATGGAAACCTGCCACAGAAACAGGGCACCAGCTCAGTGCTGCGGCCACGGTGTCAGGCTCCTGGGGGGCGGGTGTGCCCCTGGGACTCGGCACAAGCCTGCTGTCAGAACAACCTGTCCCTTAGCAAGGGTCGTTCAGACACCCCAGGTGACCAGCAAAGGAGCTCAGAGAGGGTGGGGTGGGGGCTAGACTGCTGCTGGTAAGCTCCAGCACACACTGAAGGCCTGAATCAGGTGCTGGCCAACCCCACCGCTGAGGAGGGTGACAGAAAGAGGCTCTAAGGAACACTTGCACTCCTAAGTGCCAGCTGAATGGAGTCCCCAAAACATGGAACCAACACGTGGGATTTCTTTTCCAATCTCCCTCACTGGTAGTCATCGTGGTAAACCCCAGGCCAGAGCTTCTTCTCGCGCCTCTGTGACCCAAGCTCCAGATCACACAGCCACCACGCGGTCAGCACACCTCGGCTTTCCTCCTTTCTGCCTGGTTCTCTGGAAGCCTCGAGCACTTGGCGCAGTGCTGTGGGCTGTGTGCCCACAAAAAGGTGTTCCCATCACCACTGGCACTAGCCCCAATCATGCTCTTGGCACCAAGCACCATTTCCCCAGGGACCCAACACCCTGCAGGGAGTGGGGAAGGCAGGCTGGGAATCTGTTCAAACAACTCTCCGGCCAAGGAACGGCCCCTGCGCTCCCCATGCCCAGACCCCCACCCCACCCACCTCTTTCCCAAAAGCAAGTAGTTGCTCAGTCCAGCGGCATCTGGGGGCGGAATGTCCCAGACAGGGCAGGGGTGGGACTGTACTTGAGCCCCAGTGTGATCCCATGACAGTCGGTTTGCAGATGCCAGACACGACGCAAACACTGAAGGATGTGGGCAAATGCAGCAGGCCAGGGGAATAGGGAACAGCTCACAGCTCGGGCCCGGGTCAGTGTCCCTGGGCCCAGGACTAGGCCATAGGCACCCAGTGAGCCCCAGGCCTCTTGCTCTCAGCCTGCCCTTCAGAAACACTTCCACGAAAAATACAGTGCCTCCCAACCATCGCTTTCACTTATCTTGGGGTGGAAACATCTGTCAAAGCTGAAAGGACAGAACTATGTCTAGAAAAACACAGGCTGGTGCAGCAGCTCCCTGCTTCCTGTCACTGAAGCCAGTAGGCACAGAACAGGACAGTACTGGCAGACAGCAGGGAACAGAAACCAGGGGCGTGACACCGTGGGGTTTCTGCTGTGAAGGCTGCAAGCCAGGAACTCAGAAGAGGAAATCCTCAGAGCTTTTAAGTGTTTCTAAACGCTGTTCTGACTCATTTCTACTGAAACAAAAGCTAAAAAGAGAACTGTCCTGCACAACTAGTTTCACTAAACTGGGAACCCTGTGAGTGACGGACACAGCACAGGGTGGCGGAAAGGTGCAGGTTGGCCAGCCGGGCCCACCCCCGAGCACACACCTGTAGGGCTCCATGCCCCGTGCCATCATACACAAATGGCCATATGTTTCTATCCACATTTTTTTTTTTTTTTTTTTTGGGGGCGGGGTTTCGCTCTTGTTACCCAGGGTGGAGTGCAATGGCGCGATCTCGGCTCACTGCAACCTCCGCCTCCTGGGTTCAGGCAATTCTCCTGCTTCAGCCTCCTCAGTAGCTGGGACTACAGGCACGCGCCATCATGCCCAGCTAATTTTTTGTATTTTTAGTAGAGACGGGGTTTCACCGTGTTGACCAGGATGGTCTCGATCTCTTGACCTCGTGATCCACCCGCCTCGGCCTCCCAAAGTGCTGGGATTACAGGCTTGAGCCACCGCGCCCGGCCTCTATCCACATTTTTTTAAAATGACAGGTTATTGGTCTGTTGCACAGGCTGGAGTGCAGTGGTGTAATCATGCCTCACTGCAGCCTCAACCTCCTGGGCTCAGGAGAGCCTCTTGCCTCAGGCTCCTAAAATGTTGTAGATTACAGGTGTGGGCCACCATGCCCGGACCCTTGAATCCCCCTACTTATCTGAGGAGGGAAGGGAAGCACAGATCAACGTGACCTGCCAGGAAGTGGCTGAGCTGCCTGCCTGCACACTGGGCAGTGCTGAGGAACCTTCCCAGAGCCGGCCACAGGGACACTCAGGCCCAAGCCCGTGGCCCCCACACCAGGGCCCTTCGTGGTGCCTACTTCCTCCTGAGCATCTCAGCTGACTCCACTCTGTCCTCACTGCACTCTTGGCCTCTCATGGTCCTTGCCTAAGTCCAGCTCACGCCCTCTCACTGTCCTTTACACGCATCTCTATCACTACATGTGAGGCGTCTTAACTACTTTCTGGACTAAAGAACATAAATAAAAACAAAAGGAATACTTCCTCTCCTGTGGGGCCTAGGAATAAAAAGGACAAAAACAATGAACATTAAATAATGTTTTTAAGTGAAACTTTCTTTCATTTAAAAAGCGCACTGAGCTTTGCTCCCGGGTTGTGTTAAGCGCTAAAGCCTGAGGACAGGAGTGGGCCGAGGGCGGGCGGCGAGACTGACCTGGCCCAGTTTGTAGCTCACGCTCCCCAGCTCCCGCTCAGGGTTCATCTGCAGCAGCAGCTTCTCGTGGCTGATGAGGGCACCTGTGAACACCAGCACCCTGAGTCCTGATTTGCAAAGGGGTACGGGGCCACAGGCCCACCCGTGCCAGCCCAGCATCTGCCCAGACAGGTACCCAGCCCTGAGCCACCTGCCCTCGCTGCTGGGTCTGAGGGGTTTTGTCACATTATAACCCATTAAGCTGGCAGGGCCAGTGGGCAAGCTGTACTCTTATCATTTTTTCTCAATGACAAATAAGACTGCAGCATGCACCTGTCACCCCTCAGCTCCCACCTCTGTGAGTGGGAACTGGTTGTGGGCTGAGCTGCAAAAGCTTAGGAGTCAGCAGCTGCAGGCGAGCTGACAGTCCAAGCAGGCAAGCTCCCTGTGGGACCCAGATGAGCATTTTGGTAAACAGAGCCTTCCAGAACCCCACCTTGGTGCCCACGCTGACCAGGCACAGCCGGCAGGAGCGGGAGCAGGATAATGCCCCTACTCTACCTCACACACACCCCAGGCCCCAGGCCAAACAACCTCCCATGTCTTTCTGCTGGGCATCCCCCACCAATTCCCAGGTGCCAGCCTCCAGCTTAATGTCCCCAGCTAACTTTCTGCCAGACCCTAGCATCAACTCGCCCCATCTCAAAGGGCCTCCGCGCCCCCTTACCTGGAAGCACCTGCTCCCCCCGAGCTCCAGGAGCTGCCTGTGTGTGCCCCCGCCTGCCCACCTCTGTGCCCCTCTTCTCTACCTTCTATGTCAGGTCATTGCTCCTGGGTCCTCCTGACCTATGAGCTCCCTGAAGGCTGGACTGATGGCCTTCCAGGGACTTGGTTTACTTCGGTGCCCTACATTTTTAGTGTTTACATTTGGGGGTCACAGACACTGCATAAACACACTGCGCTTCCACATACAACTTTCTGCAATTAAAGCCTTCAAGGTACTTAAACTCCTAATAACTTAACTAGGGAGTCACAAAGCTCTGTGCTAAAATACTTGTTCAGTGAAAAACATGTATCCCCCAATCCCCATAAAACTCCCTTCTTTTGAACCAGGTGACAAACTCCAGTGCCTGTGGTGGGGCAGGCACACAACTGGAAAGCTTGGTGGGAGTGCCGGCACCAACAGACAGGGCCCAGGGAGGGGAGAGGTGTAGGGAGCAGGGCGCTCACGCCCAGCCGTGCCCACCGTGCAGGCATTGCCACACGTGGTTCCTTAGGAAAAGCTGGAGATTCAGCTTGTGTAAATGAACTTGGTTGAGTTCTTAACATAAGCAACTAATTCAACTTTTAAAACCTGAGGGTCTTACAGCCCATGAAAATTCCGTCGCTTCTCACATCTTGACTGCCAGGAGATAATGCTTCAAATTCATTTCCAGATTTTATTTCCTGCCTGGGCCTGAATAAGACTCCTGCTTATGAACGGGACAGCGTACTTAGCTCAAGCCACACTCAGGTCTTCCTGCATAGCTGGTGTGATGAGCATGCTGGCCTTTTCTCATTCCCGCCCAAGTACAACTGCCCCCCTTCCCCTCAGGTACCTGTAGTAGCTGGAGACAGAGAAGGGACAGGATCCCAGGCCTGGTATAAATGATGGGTGGCAATGTTTTCTCTCTTTGAAACCATTGCTTGAATCTCTTGCTCTACAATCCCTCTGATAATGCTCAGCTTCCTCCCAAACCTAAATTTCAGAACAAAGGTAAAGAATGTTTTGTTTCCTTCAAAATCTTGCAAGTGAAAAATACCAGAATTTTTCCTCCACTTTGCGTAAAGCACCCTGGCATAATACCAAGTGAAAGCCACTTCCTACGTGAGTGCCTGTCCACGAGCCCTTACGTGGGTGTTCTACTGTTTGCTCGCTCATTCTTGCTCTGCTAACATCTACCCTTAAGCGCTCAATAACCCCCATGTCGGTGCCTATCACGTTTTCAGCTGCTCGCTGGCCAAGAGGCCACCTTTGGGTCTGCACTTCCTGCACAGACCATATGCACATGCACAGTGTTTTCAAGTCTAGCAACAAAGAAAAATGGCCTGGGTGAAGCTGCTGGACACATCAGGGGGGATCCCACTGTCCCTAGCACCTGCTACGTCCCGGAGACATGTGGGAACGCAAGCAAACCTGGTGTCGAGAGCTTTCAGAGGCTTGTTCCGGGGCTGCTGCTCCAAGCAGCTCACAGCTGGGTTGCCAGCCACAGGCACGGTCATTGCACTGAGCACCAGTGAGGTAATGGCCTGCACAGCCAGGACGTTAATCTGGGTCCTCTCTGTGTCTTCCTGGAAGGACAGTCCACACGTCAACAAGAGCAGCAAGACACCCACAAGCAGCTCTGCCTGCACATGCCTGCAGAACCCAGAGTCCACCTGGCCCCGAAGGGAGGAAGAGGAGCCCTAAGTGCTACCAAGGGGCTTCTGCCAGGCTGAGCTCACGGGGCACGAGGCAGGGCCTCTACATATGGACCCAGAGCCCATCTGATGGCCAAATGTCCATTCTTCCAATCAAGGACTCCTTTGGGCACAAAATGCCAAACATGCAATCCATTTTAATAAATTATCCTTGAATTCCCTCATACATTTGAGGGGCCCTGCATATGACAATCTGTTAGCTTCTATGGATGAATTTAAAGACAATCCTGATGATTTGTGACGTATGTCTACCCTCCCAACTGTCATTTCTACGAGTTCATACCACACCTCTAACAGAATCAAGGGCCTGCATCCCACAACTTCCCACCCTGCTGGCTTCGCTTTACCAGAGCAGGTATTACTAATGTCATGTTAACGCAATGTACGTGAACACTTCAAGAGGCCTGATAAAATCTCCGCAAGAAGTTAGAAAAATGAAACCAGGTCCTACTCATGGCCTTTATAAAGTGACTTTTCATTTTAATTCAAATAGAACTAAAAGATGTTTTCCAGAAAGGGCACAATCTTATTGATCCTTAACATGGAATGCACTGTAATAAGATGCATTTTAGCCACTGGTAATTGCAGCCCTCAAACCTCAGCAGGCTTTGTCCCTGCTCTGGAATATCAGTCAAATCACCATCTGGCTACTCTTTCAAAAATAAGGTAAGAGAAAGACACCAGCTTCCTGCCTTATTCTGTTCACCACCAAAGGCCTGCAAGCGGCCATAACTGCCCATGTGCCAACCAGCACAGGGTGTGGCCTTACTTCTGGTGGGCTCTCCTCCTGCTCCATCACGAGGGGCTGGGTCACCAGGACACCAAGAAGAGTGGCCCAAGTTTCTTCAAACTGAGTACGACTGGTCCAGCCTAGAAACATAAATGTTACATGAGACAGTGTCAAGCCTTCTCAAGCCTATAACGGAGAGCTGACAGCTACGCTGACACAGCCCAGCTCCTACAGCAAGCTCCACACTGGCGGCAGTGAATCCCTTAAACCCCACACAGGTCTATGGTGTGGGGAACACTACTCCCTCCATTTCATCATCGAAGAAACCGAAGCACACAGACATCAGCTTCACCATCTGAGCACGTGAGAGACAGGAGGCACAGGCCCAGTTTGGCCCTGGCAGCATGGTCAACCCCCAGTGGCGCAGACACAGGGACAGGGCAGGGACACCCATGCAGGTAACCTTGTGCAGGGCCAGGGCCACTTCTGTCCCGCTTACCAGATGGGCTAAAATCTTCCCTGAAGTCCACCCCTGAGACTGTGCTGCTGGCTGCACACCATGGATAAAACTAAAGGCCACCAAACTGTCTGCTTAGAGTGAGTGAATTCTGTAGTATGTGAATTCTGCCTCAATAAAGCTGCTAAAAATTTAAAAGTCAAAGCAATGGTTCCTCTGACCCGTCTAGAAGAACAGATCAAAAAGAGTGTATCAAGGTAGGAACAGGGATTCAATGAAAGCACATCCAATAGGCCGCCCCTTGGGCATTCCTACGGGTGCGCTACATTCGAGTGTCTCTAACCAACAGCTGTGCTTCATGTCCCCGTTGTGACCTCTGAGGCAGCCACGCCACTTGTGGTAAGGCCACAGCAATGGCATGGGGTGCTTGGGACAGAAGAACTAGAGCAATGGACATCAGGGTCCCTGGGATGAAAACAAGAGACAGAGGGGAACAGCACACAGGACTGATTCGGACATAGATACAGGCCGATACAACAATTCACATTACAGGGAAAAAGCAAACAAAGAAAAGGAGCACGAGCGAAGGCCAGGACTGCAGCAGTCTTGGGTCACACACGTCTGAAGGGCAGTTCGAGAGTGAGCACACCAAGTAAGCAAAGGAGCTCCTGTGAGGCGAGGGGGGAGCCCAGGAGGCCACTGACACAGATCTTCACAGCGAGGAAAAGGAGGAGCTCTGTGAGGCAGCTGGCTTAAGTTCCCGCTCAGGGCTCCCTTCGGACACTGAATGGTCTAGTTAACCAAAGGAGAAACTAGAGGCATGGTGTCTGCTGCCACAACCTTCTGGGATCAAAACAAGCCTCAAATCTGCAGAAGCCTGAGGGACGGGGGAGAGGACTGGACAGTGGAGTCAGGGTGCCCCTGCCAGACTTTCTAGCACAAGACAGGAACTTTCCAGGAAACACCACAGGAGGGCACAGCCACTGAGAACTTACCAATTACAATCCCACCACAAGATCACACCTCTTGCCATAAAATAGGGGCAAAAGTGGTGACTTACTCATTTAGGCACTTTTTTAGAAATAAGGAGTAATTCTTATTTAGAAATGTAATTTCTAAATCTGCAACAATTCTATGAAATAGATATGACCCCATCTTACAAATTTGACAAAACTGAGGGTTTCTAGAGGATAAACGGACTGGCCCTGCGCTGCTCAGCTAGGAGGGCTGGAAGCAGACCAGGACCAACTGAGCCCAAGCCCGCTTTCTCCGCATGCTGCCTCTAGGCTCTGGGGAAGGCGAGTGCCAAGAGACCCGACTCCATCTGCTCCCGTCTGCTTGTTCCCATATGAGAAAAGGCACCAGTGAGACACAACAGGATCAGACCAGTGAACATGAGAAAACATTCTCATACATGCGCTGCCACTGTTTAGCCTGAGTGCAAAATCTGAAGGCAGAATTTGGCCTCACATTGTCCATTACACATGAACCTTTCCTGACTTCAAACAAGCCCGGAATACAAAAGGCTGGGGTTAAAGTCACACAAACACAGGAACTTGGATCTCTTTTCTCAGTATAAAAGGAGTTTTGCCAACACCGCAAAATATATTCACGTAGATTTGTATCATTATCATGCCCTCAACCTTTTCTGGAGTCAAATGAGAAGATCCCAGTTCTGGGGCTCTGGATTTCCTCCCAGTAATGTTGAGACAATGGTGACCTGAAGGAGAGGTCCCAAGGGTACCTAGCGTGTTGATGCGGTAGATGAACTCCTTAAAGACTTCCTTTTCCTGGAGAAACTCCACAGGGATCTCAGGGAATGCTGTGCCAAACTCCCCTCCTGGTTTGGGCGACCATCCAAGCTTCCACACCTAAGAAGATGAAAAGGAGGTGACAACACCCAGATGGAATCAGGACAGCCACACTGAGAGCAAGCGGGAAGGCCCACTTCTCTCCACTGGGCTCCCTCCTCACTACCCCAATACTTTCCAAGAGCTGGCACCTTCTCCCCCAGAAAACAGCTCCAACTGCTTCCCAGGACTTCCCTCCCCATCAAGTGGCCCTCCCAAATCTGCTCTGCCCCCCCACTTCCTGCCCTCATCCTGAGGCTCAGAGAGTGCTGGGAGAGGCAAGCAGGAGTTAGAGACAGCACCCCTCGCCCACAAACAGCAGATGGTGTGTTAGAATAATGGCAGGCGTTCAACGACATTCAGCTCAGATGTTTATTGGCAAGCAGGCACGAGAATGAACCATACAGCTCATTTCTAGAAACTCTGAAGTTCGGTTCTCTGTGCACGAGATGCGCAAACAAGTGCCACGCACAGAAGAATCTGGAGGCAGGCTCGATGCTGTTCCAGTAGCAGGATCGGCTGAATGTCTGGCCAGCTCAGTGGACATGCCTTCAGTGAGGGGAGAGAGGACCCAACGGAACCCCAGGATTCCCACAGCCCACCTGCACAGTGGGTGGCTCTATGACAACGACCTGCAAAGCTCTCTGGCATCCGCCCAGGGCGAGACTGCAGTGCCTGTCACAGCTGCCTTCCGGGTCACTGCACTCAATGCCGGTTAAGCGCTCACCGAAGGGATTTTATCTACGGCGTGCAGCCCGTCCTGGCATGTTCGCAAGTGTGTTCTGGGCGGCATGACATAGTCTAGACTGTGCTCTCCTGCGTGGTCTCCCCGAGCCCCTCCCAATGAGCAGTTATTGTCTCAGAACCAGATGCTACGGAACCCACAGTGACTTCTTGTGTGGGCCAAGAGCAAGCCCCGTGCAGCAAGGGTGGACTGCTTGCCCAGCACTCCTGCTCTCTCCTCCCAGGAAAGCCTGCAACTCCCTGTTTTGCAACTGCCTCCAGCACCACCAGGCACTGGCATTTTCTTTGGAATGAGCCCTCCATCTGGAATACCTTCATCCTCTGGGGCAGAACCTTCCTCATCTCTCAGGATCAAACAATACTGCATCCTTGGAGCAAGCCTCCCCAAACTCTCCAGCCACATATACACACGTGCACGCACACGTGCAGGCACGCACCCTTCTCAGGCGGCCACAAGCCCCTTCCCTGGGACCTGGCTCCATTCTCACTGACCTACACCTGCTGAGTTGACTTTTCTTTCCTGCCTGAGGATGCTGAAGTCCTTAAGGAACAGTTCCCATCATCTTATTTCGGCAGGCTGATGGTGGATGATGCCATTCCACTGGGCAGAAGTCAGCCCACCTCCATCAAGCCTCACTCTCCTCAAGCTAAGCTCTTCGTGTTATCTGAAACAAGGATCTTGATCAATAGCACCTACTTTTATTTATTTACTTTTTTGAGACCGAGTCTTGCTTTGTTGCCCAGGCTGGAGTGCAGTAGCACGATCTTGGCTCACTGCAACCTCTGCCTCCTGGGGTCAAGTGATTCTCCTGTCTCAGTCTCCTGAGTAGCTGGGATTATAGGTGTGTGCCATCACACCTGGCTAATTTTTGTATTTTTAGCAGAGATGGGGTTTCACCATGTTGGTCAGGCTGGTCTTGAACTCCTGACCTAAGGTGATCTGCTGGCATTGGCCTCCCAAAGTATTGGGATTACAGGCGTGAGCTACCAGCCTGGCAATAACACCTACTTTAAACTGATTCTGAAGACAACAGCAAAATTGTGTAGAAAAACGTGGATTACCTCCGAAGGAAAATCTTGCTCACTTGAGGGGGTGTGATTTCTGGTCTGCCATTAAGCAAAGTAGTCTAGTTGCTCCAGAATCAGCTCGAACACTAATCCCTTAGTGATGTAGTGCCTCAGTTCATTTCAGAAAACCCAGTGTTTCTACTAACAACCTCCACCGTGGTGCCTGAGGAAAGCAGCCTGGCATCACAACCACAGCAGACAGCATCTGGGCTGCAGGGACTCTGTCTTGCCCTCTCAGGTGTGTCCAGCCCAGAGCTTACCCGTGCACTTCCCTGTACTTTGGTCTTCTGCAAAACCAGACTCACCAGTGGGGGCACACGCGTGTAGCTGTTGACAAGGGGCAGGCGGGCCAGGCTGACGATGATGTTCCTGAGCACTGACGTGAGAAACGCCGGCACGCTGCTGTTCCTTTTATGGCCCAAGGCCAACACCGACTGCAGAGACTCCACCATTTCTGCCACCATCTCACAGGCTGCAGTGACGTACGTAGGATCTAAACAAGCAACCACGGTTAAGAGAGGACTTTACAAACACGTCCCACATGCCCAGTGTAGAAAGCATGACCTACAGCCAGCTGCTTAGGCCGTCACTGTGTAATCTGCTTAGACTCTGAGCTGGCCGCTGGAGGCCTGCAGATTTCTACCTCCTTCATCTCCACCTGGACCATGTCATTTTCTCCATTTTCTGCTGGGACTGCTGGAATGGTCCTGAACCTGAGCTCTGGCCTTGGTCCCCAGCCCTCTGGCCCACCCTCTACGATGAGGCCAGCAATAGTCTATGGCAGCTAGAAGCCATCCCGTGGCCCCTTAGCCTCAGGCTTCCTTCAGGACACCTCCTCTGCCCCTTGTCTTTCTCTGGTCTCATAGGACCTCCGTGTGTCCCTCAGCTAGGATCAAAGAGCCATGTTGTCATCCTTGCTTCACTGACTTTCCTAGGCCAGAGTGTTTGAGGGGCTTGGGGCACGGTTCTGGTGGAAACACAAACTCCCAAGGCGGAGCACTGAGAAACATTCCATACCCTTGGTAAGATCCACAGCATGGTCAGTGTCTTGAGTCTGGAATGTCATATGTACTAAAATATGATTTGTTTAGTCAGTGAATGTGTAGTGAATGGCTATTACCCATGGGCTATGAGATTCTACAGTCTGGGCAACTCGCTAGAATAGAGAATGATTTCTCACTGGACTTCAGCAATTAAGCCCCACGCTAATGAGTTGGCTTTATTAATTTTTATTGAATGACTTTAAGAAGTAACATCCTATCGAGGTGATTAAAAAAACAAAGCAAGTTTCCCCTTCTGGCCTAAAGAGGGCCATGGGGAATAAGCACAAGCATCTTCACCCAAACAGAACCCGCTCCAAGTCCCGCTGCTCTGACTCAAACCTCCACGATGTTTCAGCTATTTTAAAGCAATGGAAATTCAAATAGTAACTATAAATTATGGTAGCATTTGTTGAGTATTCATAACAAGACTGTCACCGTTCCAGGTGCTTTACGTGGATGGATTAACTGACTTAATCTGAATCCACACAATTGGCACTATTCTTGCCCTCCCCACAGAAGCACAGGCTCCACAGACTGAGGTGCCACTCAGCTGAAAGACACAGAGAGGGTGGTAGGTGCTTTCATATTCCTTAAGCAGCAAGAAGAAATCATGAAACCACAAACTGAAGCCTGAAGGACCCACAGAGGTTCGAGATAAAAATTCAGAGACTTTGGCTGTGCATTAAAATGCCATTGCTGCTGGGTCATTCTCTAACTACAAAACCTTGAACAGGGAACCAGAAGAAAAAAGTGCTATGCCGAAGACTAAAGACGGGAAAACTCCATCCATAACCAGGATTACACAACAGCTGGCAGAAAAATCCCGAAAGCACGGATGTACTCATGATTGAAATGGCATGTTCCTGAGCCACGGTGCGCAGAAAAGATGCCTAGTGCTCCAAGTAAGGGTGCTGCATAAAACACCCGCGCAGACAGGCCCCAGCTGAGGCACCCCCGCCTCTGTGGGACAGGCTACAGGGGGCATTCCCAGCCACACACGACGCTGAAGAAGCTGAAGTGGCCCCAGCAGCCTAGAGGCCCTGGTAAGAACAAAAGATGCCTGGCTAAAAACTTTTCCTCCCAACGGGCACTGCCACCATTTTTCTAGTAACATACCTACTCCAGAATTGGGAGGAAAGTGCGTGAAAAGCTGTGGCATATGTCTAAGTCTGTAACTCGCTTAAATGACTGGGATTTGGATTTTCTTTCTGTAGGAAAAGTGGAATTTTCTTTTAAAAATCCACCACAACAGATGGCTAAACCTGACACTGAAGTGACTGAATACTCACATAGGTAACGTTTATTTATTCCTTACCACTCAACAGAAGTTTGTTGCTTGCTGACCACAGGCCAAGCATTAGTTTCTGAGAACGCAAAGAAGACAAACTTGTTCCCTGCTCTCAAGGAGCTGGCAGTAACTTCAGGGTGTGGAAGGTGCTGGAGGGAAGGGAGGGCTCCCCCAGCAGCATCCCAGCTGGTCTGTAGGGTCAGAGACAGCCACAGGTGTAGGGATAAGGTGTTCACTGGGAAACAAAGCAACCGACTCAAGCCTCCCGGGCGGTGAGGGAGGAGCAGTAGGACGCAGCCCAGGTGCTTCCAGGAGTGCACACTCACCTCAGTCCACAGCTCTGTGAGCGATTTATAAGTCCTGGAGGAACCACATGTAAGAAAAAAATGGTTCCTGAGACTTACTCTGTGTGTTTGCATCTACTTCCTCCTCCTCTCTGATGGCTTTTGGGGTATTCATCCTTCTTTCTGGACTAAGAAGCTGCTCTCCAGGCTGCACTGCAACTAAAATTACAAGAGAACAAACAGAATTTCCACACACTTCTATCAGTGCTTTTTATTCAAAATTTTACATTTGTGCAGCCTCACAAAAGTTCAAAGGGATAGACAGACTAGCCTAGATTTCTTAGAACCAATTTTAGACAAACAGACAATACTAGACTGAGGGGCCAATCTCTTGGTAAGTGGTAAATGTATGAAGATTTGTGCTTCGGGTTTCGTTCCGATTTCTCAGCCCCCTGACTGTCTCCTGTTGGCCGTCTCTCACCCTGAGGCTATCAGACAGCTCAAGGTTCATGACTGCCAAGAGCATCACTATCACCCCAAGAAGCCTGGATCTTTGTTTTCAAGTTGGCCACAAATGCACGATGAAAACGATTGTGAAACATCAAAACACCACTCTATAATGTTTAATTTTAAAATACAAAGCTTCAAAATGCCCTCTAACATGTAAACTATGATGTCCAAATTTTTAAAAACTGTGGCTAATGACCCTTGCTGAGGATCACTGTTCCTTGAAAATAGTAAGTTGCTTTTATTTTATAGTATGCTAGTATTACAATGCAGTATAGAAACTCTTAACAAAAAACAAGTAGTATTCTGAATGCGATCTTATTAATCTTATGATCATGTAAGACTAAATGCATGAAATAGTCAGCTAAGACCAAAGATCCCAGAGATAAAATTTACAAGTACTTTTGATGAAAGCTAAAACTCCAAAATCTAAACAAAATGACTAAAAAAGCAAATTCAAGTTAAAGTCCAGTGTAGACTCCAATATATTGGAGATTAAGAGACGGGGCCCAGCCCTTCACAATGCATATTTTATCTACCTCTCCATCCCCAATTCCTAGCTTAGTACCTGGCAAACAGGCAGCACAAAATAAAAGCATTGTGAACTAGACAGGAACTAGGACAGGAACCTGTTGATGGACAGGGACTCACCGGCCTCCAGGATGAAGTGCACGCAGTGGATAAGGGAGCAGGCATGGGTCACAAACTCCGTGGAGGAAATCACACTCCAGAGGCCGGGCAGCTGCAGGGCCAGGCAGCAGCAGTCCAGCCCTGCCTGGAGATCCAGACTCAGCGGGATCTGCTCATGGATCAAATGCCAGGACAGGGCCTAAAGGGAAGAACCGAGTCACAAAATACCCACTTATGCACCTTCGTTCAGGGAAGCTGTGCCAATCACAGATGTGGTGGAACTGACCAACGTATCGAGGGGCAGTGGGTCCAGATGCCCTTGCCCTTCCAGAAGGACAGCTCTGACCTGGCTCCATTACATTCAGTCCTGACCCACCTATCCCCCAAAGTTCCAGTCCCCTCTCTGCCAGAATGCCCCCTTACTCTGCTGACTGTCTCTCCTTCAGCGCTGTGGGCTCCTGTGGAAATCTCTCCCGGACTACACGAGGCCAGAGGCTCTTCCTTGGGGTTCCCTCAGCACCAGGGCTTGCCTCTGTCATAGCCTCAGAGTTGAATTTGAGAGCACAGGTTCTAGGGATAGCAGGCACTGGGTTCAAATGCCAGAATGGCTACACAGGAGCTACATGTGTACATGTACAGCGGGCCTGTCCGCTACATATAACATAATCGGCAACAATCACCCTGTGCTGTAATCACACGCTGGCTTTCCCACTTCCCCACTAAGCTGAAATCTAAAGGACAGGGATCAGAAACCATCTGACTCCATGTGGTTTAGAATAGGGTGTATTCATCATTTCATGAGTGACAGCACCAATGCCCTTTGGACTCCTCCCTTTCTTTGGTGTGAGGTGGAGGCAGAGGCTGTGTGGGTCTACAGTGTGTCCTCGTTGAGGGTGAGCAACACAGCGCTGGCCCTTTAAGGATACAGGCCAGAATTTAAGACATCCAGAATGTGTACACATTTTGGGGGCCAATTACACAAACCAAGTGTCCCTGGGCTGACATGTCCAGACCATCTTAAGACATAAAACACCTCTAGATGATGATTGTTCAAGTCTGCAAAATCAGGATCCACGTGACACTGCAGGTGCAGATGAGAAGGGGACCCTGCTCACCTCAAGGGTCACCGTGGGGAGTGGTGAGGTGAGGATGAAGGATGGCCACGATAATTTGACGGTGATGAGACTTACTGCTAGGCTGAGACGGAAAAGTGACTGGACTGGTCAGAGCTCTTGCTTTTCAAATAAAACGGCTTTACTCTCTCTAGTGCCAGCCCCGTGTCCCCTCCTCACAGCAACACTGAGCTTCCCAGTTGCTGCCTCTTACCTCGAGGGTTGCCACCACAAATTTCACGGTGTCCTTCTCTTTCTCAGGAGGAAGGTACAAGTGAGTGGGCAGTTTGGAGACCACCACCAGGTACTGTGCCAGGGCCCGGGCCAGAGTAGTCAGGGACTGATATGGCGCAGCATCCCCTGAAACAGAAGGCCCTCGTGGGTGGGTGCACCCACGAACACGGAAGCACATCACCTTCAAAAGGCAGTCAAGCTATTCTTTGAGAATCTGATGAAGGCTCAAGACAGTGTTCCTCAAGGGCACACCTGCACATACGTTCGCACGACTGCATGTGATGTGGGCTGCGTCTCCCTAAGCCTTCCTTTAGCCCAGCCTTCCTCAAGGGCTTAGAGCCCTATGTCCATGACCATGTCAGTGAATGGCAAAGTGGCAAACGCACAGGAAGAAATTCTGAGCTGAGGACAGCAGTGCTGCTCTTCAGCTACCTCTATAAACACTTGCAATGTATTAATTAGATCAACTGCCTTTATTGTATACTTACTTGGTGCAAAGTACTATAATGGCCCTGCAACGCTTTTGTTTTAACTTTAATTACCAAACAGATCGTTCAGCTTGCTCCAGTAGGCGGCCGGCTCTGCAGGCAGGTGGGGCTGGAAGACGTGATGGACAGCAGGGAGCTGCTGTGCGGTGCTGCTCACGCGGGCCAGAGTCACCTCACGGGCTGCTTCAAAAAGGGGACTCTTCTGGCCACTGGAAATTTCACTCATCCCTAGGCTTAAGCATGGAGCTAATAGGCTTATGTTGAACTCCTGAAATCAGAGCATTAAAGGTTAAACAATAACAACAGATTATGAGCTTTCAACCAGAAAAGAAAAACACAACAGAAAAAAGGATAAGGCAAATGTTTCTGAGAAAATATAGATTAGTACACCATCAAAACTACTTTTAAGAATATTCTGTTCTATGCCTGTTATAAATATTTGAACAATTCCATTCAATATATGCTCAGTAAAATATATTTCTGTTCTCTTTTGGTACTTTAATTTTAAGGAATATTTTAATTTTTATGCTCTTGGATTTGCTTGAATAAAAATCTTGGTATGACAATTTTAATTCATAAAACAAAATCAAAATAAAAGCTAAAGTGTCATTGAAGACATCAGCGATACACCAGTAACTCCTAAAGTTTGAAAAGATGTTTGAATATAGCTGAAATGAGTGAAAGCAGCCATGTGAATGCCAGAGTTTTGGTAGAAAATGGCATTTCCTATGATAATCTGTATTATGTTTTACCAACCCTTTTGTTTAGCCATTTCAGGATTGGGGGCCAATTTTTCAGGTAAAACATCAATCTTAAGTTTAATATTCAGAAAAGCATCACTAATGCCCAAAGTTGAAGCTTTCTTTTACAGCCAGAACTTTTACAGCTGTTCAGAGTCCAAAGAGCAAATTTGAAAAACCTAATAAGCCAATCACTAAGCAAATTTATCACTCAGTAAGTCAGTTTTCACTGCATGAATGTTTTGTTTTGTTTTCCTTCTTTTTTCTTTTCTTTTTTTTTTTTTTTTTTTTTCACTGCATAAATCTTAAACAATTTTAGCAAACCGATTTTGGGCGAGTTCTCCTGTTTTCAGTTTAGCTCTTCAGTACGTCAGAACACTTGTGCTGCCTTCCCCGAAAGGTCTCTTCATGAACACCTGCAGCCACCCCCAGCTCTACATGCCTTGGCCCTCCCAGGTGCCCACTTCCCTCCCATTTGCTGCATATCGACGCAGGGCTAACACACCAGGAAGTTTCTCCCGTCCTAGCAGGTCTGAGAGGAATCCCTGCTCGGGCCACGGCTGCACCACACCCAAGAGGCAGGCACCCACTGCTCACAGGACCTGCCCATAGGCGGAGGACGGGGACACCAAGGCCTTCTGAGCTGGCTCTGCGCAGGGTGCCCTGTGACATCTGGGACTGAAGGGGAAGAACCTCACTACATCTAACAGAGGTATGGGTAGAGGAAATCTCACTGCATCCAAGAGTCTCCTTGACTACTAAAGATCAACTTCCAGAATAAACATGTTATTGAAGGCATGCATGGCGTTGTGTCAAAGTCTATGGCAAATATGCAACCTCGACTTCCATTCTGTTGGCCGTGGAGCACAGGTGATAAAATCCTGTGTTCGTTCCTCTGGTGGAAGCCAAATAGTTCTCATCCCAGACCATACACCCAGCCTCGGGGCCAGCTGAATTTCAAAACAATACCTCCTGAGAGAGGGCTCCCATCAACTTGTTACAAATTCCACAGCTGCCTGCTTCCAATTGCCATCCAATTTCTACCCTGCTCCCCTGCCGCTCGTGTTCCCCATCACAGATGCCAATCGGAGTGCCCAGGGCCACACTTCATTCCCTCACATGCTCCCCGACCTGTGTGTGTATGGGGCCTCTAGGCATGCCATGTACCGCCAGGACCTATACGTAATAAAACCTTCATTTCCATAACGTGTTTCTCCTAATCCCCGAGGGAGTACTCTCCAACATCTCAAAGATCCTGAATCAAGACAGACACCAATCCAATACCCTTCCTCACTGCCAGGAGAACGAGGAAGTAAAACTGAATATAATACAAGATCACCTCCTTTTTTTTTTTTTTTTCCCGAGACGGAGTTTCGCTTTTGTTGCCCAGGCTGGAGTGCAATGGCACAATCTCGGCTCACCGCAACCTCTGCCTCCGGAGTTCAAGCAATTCTGGTGCCTCAGCCCCCCAAGTAGCTGGGATTACAGGCATGCACCACCATGCCCAGCTAATTTTTGTATTTTTGGTAGAGATGGGGTTTCTCCATGTTGGTCAGGCTGGTTTCAAACTCCTGACCTCAGGTGATCCACACGCCTTGGACTCCCAAAGTGCTGGGATTACAGGCATGAGCCACCACACCTGGCCACCACGCCTGGCCACCATCTCCATTTTCTTTAAATGCGTGAAAGGTTGAGTGAAATCAACTTGCTTTCTTGGATTCTAACGTGGCTGAAATAATTCTAACGTGCTTTCCCATCTGGATCAGCATATCCCCCACGTCCCGGCCCCATCTGAAATGGAGTCCTCCCCACTTCCCAGCCCCATTCAGAGGGGAGTCTCCCCAGCATCCTGTTCCTATCCAGAGTGGAGTCCCCAACAGGTGTTGTCAACAAGTGGGTCATATGATGATGAGACAAATCCCACTTGGAAGTCACAAGTAAAAGTTGAGGGTTCCTTGCCTCCGCTGCTCCCCCCGTACCGAGTTCATCATGAAGGCACTCATATCTTCAGCAGGAATCCGATTCACCAACTCTGCACCTTCCAGCAGTGCAGAGTCTGACCTGGTCCAACACTGGGATTTGACAAGATGGATGTACCAGTCCTGGGAAGAACAAATGGATACAGGGAACACGATGGGTGGCATTCAAGGGGTCTTCACATTCCTGGAGCTACGGGTCTAGGCCAGTGCTTGGGAACACTGCACTGGGCTAACCGAGAGGGCTGACAGCCAGCATGCTGTGGCCCTATGGCCCCCCACACCACAGATTCTCCCCTTTGGACTTCTGTTACCTGCCTGGGCACCCTTGCAGTCTCGCCGTCACCTCGTGAACTTCCAATAGTCCTTCCAAATATAGCTAAAGCACTAAAGCCTGGTAGCCCCTTTACCATCCTCCCCTGGGCTTCGCTTTGCTCATCTCTTCCCAGCAACCAGGGCAGGGCAGGTGCTTAGCAATAGAGTCTAAGAAGGCAAGACTGAACATTCGCTTTCCTGTACTTGGGCTGCTGGTTTTTGAAATCTAAATTCATATTCATAAGCTGAACTCTCTCCAGGAAAGTAGAGTACTAAGGCCCTACCAAGGCTCCAAGCGGTCCCTAACTAACCCTGAGGTGTGAGCAGCGGAGGTGCTGACAACATACCAGAATGGCTGGAAGTGGTGGTGCAACTCGCAGGAGGCCGGAAGGCATAAGGAGATGGGAGCAGGCTAAACGCATTGACAGGTGCTTGAAGGCCTGTGCAGTCAGGGTCCTGCAGGCCCTGGCCAACTTTCCCTTGATTCACCCACTAACTACTGGGCCCCATACTCCTACCATTCGGGTCCCACATCAGCACTGCTTTTCTCCCTAGGACCTTAGTGGCGCCCCACATCTCTAAACACAGCTGTTACTGAGCCGGGCCAAGTACCAGAACTCCTTGGGTTCACCTCCTCTGCACACTCTGTATCTGCTAGAGGTGACAGTGGCACTCAGCACCACCCTGCATGCGCCCTGTGCCTCCCATGCAGACATGCTGGATCCTTACTTTGTCTGGACTCACTGTTTCCAGTGACACGTGCCCATCCCCGTCCAGCGGGTGGGAAGAGACTGGAGGAGAGGGACTGAGTGAGTCTTGCGTTGTGGAGAGACGAAACCTGTCCAGCAGGGAATAGAGCCTTTGGTGTCTAAAATACAAACAGAAATGAAATCACAACACAACTTTGTTTTTCTTAGTCTTAGTCTAAACTCTGCAAACTAGGATTCTAGAAATATACGCTAAAAGGACTCACTCACAGTGGCTTCTTAAAGGAAAATGCAACTTGTTTAAAACTTTTTCTTTACAGTTATTTTCTCATCAACACTCAAACAGGTCGTGATACAAATGCAGGCCCTAGTTTACTTTTAAGTATCACAGTTTGTATTCTATTAGTATTTTCCAGAAATCTCATTTATACTCAAACATCACAACAGGCAAGGCTCAGTATAAAAGCTAATAAAGGCATTCTTAATAAATGTAAAACACATCATCAATTCTAAAACTCAAGGGTACAAACTCCACTATCAAATATCCCGGTAAAACAATTGATACGAATTTATGGTCATTTCAAGATAAAATTACCTCATCTGGTGCAAGGTATTTATAATCTCTTAATCTTCCTCCTCTGGACCGAGGACTAAGTCTAAGGTTAAGAAGTAATAATAGTTTATCTCCCACCATCTGCTATGAGAGTGACAACTTCATAATGCAAATTATAAAATAGCTTGGCCCTACAGACTGAAATATCATCCCAAACTGACTGTCCACCAGACTGTGCCCAATCCCATTTAAAAACACCATCAACAAGGTACTCTTAAGACTGAAATCAAAGCATAATAATCTGTGTGTGTGCATGTGCGTGTGTGTGTTTTGGCAGTTTTAGCTCAAAGGACACAGCATAGTAATTATATCCTCCTTCTCTGCTGTCTCTCTCACCCTCTCACAAACACAGTTTTCCCCAACCCAGGGAAGGAAAAGGGTAAAAGTTTAACTGGTTTTGCAGTCATGGAAACACTCACATAGGAGATGTAAGGATTTCTGATAAAGGCTTCTCAGAGACTCTGCAAACATAACTGATTAAATGCTACAAAGAGATAAAATGGCAACAGGATGCAGATACAACTCCTGCATGCCAAGGATTGAGTAGTCTCTTTCAGATTTGTCAGCTCTTATTTAGCAATTAGATGATGTGCTTTGATTTTGCTGAGATAAAGCTGATAACCTATTTTCCAACTCATCACAGGACAGTGAATACCGGCATTATAACTACTGCCTCTCAAACAGCCAACAGGAGCGCAAACTGCGCCCACCCACGCCATAGACATGATCCTGCTGGTCACTGTCCTTTACTCCTTAGAAAGCGAGATCTGGTTGTTTTAAAAGTAGAAAGCCTTTCTATTTTGGTACTTCTGCAGCAAGCCCACCTATAAGGCACATCAATTTCTGGTTCCATGAATTTATTCCCATACAAATCCATATCCTTTGCATCCTGGGTTAACCTAGGATAAGGATGACCTGTGTTTCCAGCCTTACCTCTGAGCAAGCCCGCTGCTCTGAAGGTATTCCTGGATTCTGTTGAGTTCTTCCATTGGCAACTGGGCCATGCTGCTCTAAATACACAAAAACACATTAGTGTGTGTGTAACACCTAACAACCCAAAATAACCTCACGCTCATTTTAAAAGGATAAACTGATGTGTACACTTCATCCTAGTAAGGGCATATTAGAAAAAAATACAAGAAATGGTCAGATCAGACACATGAGGAACAGATAGTTTGCAGATGTTTCCACATTTCTATCAGTGACCATATCAAGACCACACCTATGGAAGAAAATACCAGCCATCTGTTCTGCTCGCCTGCTAAATTTTCAATATAGATCAGTATCAGGGTTTCTTTTCCCAATACCTGTAAATTTGCAGCCAGAAGCATTTCTACCCGGCGACAAGCAAGGATGTCGACCATGCGAGCCAGCACACGGAAAGGGGTGCACAGAAGCCTATCCACATACAGCGTGAGCACAGCTCCCGACTGGCTGAGATGGATCCCTTCCAGGCACTGAAGCGTTTTCTTTAGAGTGGTTGGCTTATATCGAGAAGGAAAAGAACAAAAGATGACTATTTTGCCAATCGGAAATTGAAGTTAAAAATTTCAATACTCCACTTTTAAGGCAGAGAAAACTGCAACTGGCAATAATTGGCAGAAGACGTACAGCTGAAAGGTTTTCACAACGAGACTGAATTGCCTGGATGAACAGGCCGCTGGCAGCAGAGTTCCGATGAACGGCACTGATGAAGTCCTGGACTGGGGGCTCGTGGGAAAGGCTGATCAGATCTTGAATGTGATTTACGATGAGCCACGTTAAGTGCTCAGAGTCATGGAGGTTCTGACACTAAGGAAAAATACAATGAAAGATTCATTTTCAAGTACACAAGAAGAGACCAGATATTAATGCCATAGAAAGGCCAGATAGGTTAGGAAGGAGAAAACACATCCCAAATATAAACATCCCTAAAAATATACGGTGTATGAACACAAATAATTGAAGAGGCAGGAAACTCGATTTACTGAGGCCGTGAACTCCGACCACGCACTGCAGCAGAGGCTGTGTGAAGTCGGACCTCCCCTGGGGAAGCAGGTGCAGCAGTCCAGCTCTCAGAGACACTAACAAATAGCCAAGGGTCAAAGGACAAAGGCGGGCCTCAGCAATACCCATGGGTAGCAGGGGCACCTTGGCGCCAGGACACTCTCATCACAGCACTGCTGGCCCTCTCCTGGGCTTCAGGCTGGCTGAGCCAGTGGGGTTCTCCAATTACTCTTTTTCCAATTTTGTGATAGTTCATTGGAAAAAAAGGAATTCTCTATCACTGCCACAGTTTTGACAGAGTGCTGAATCCAAAATATGACTGGATCCCACAAATCAAATAAATCTTAAGTGCAGATATTTCATTTAAGATTTAGAAGAAAATAGAAAATACATATATTTAAACATTCAGAGCCTTTTCATCTTGATTCATAATCCTAGGCAGAAACCGTAAAATATGACCAATTCCTTGACATCTGGTTAATAATTAATATTTTTCATTTGGGATCATTTGACAGTACAGGTTGAATAACCCTTATCTGAAATATTTGCGATCCGAAGTATTCTGAATTTAGGATTTTTTTTTCAGGTTTCGGAATATGTGCATTATACTTATTGGTTGAGCCTCCCAAATCAAAAACTCTGAAATCTTCCAACAAACATTTCCTTTGAACATAATGACAGCACTCAAGAAGCTTCAGAATTTTGGATTTCAGATTTTTGGATTTGGGATTCTCAACCTTTATTAACTTATAAAAATAATGTATTTTTTCTTACATTTCTGTGAAAAAACAGCATTATACAATTATATTATCCTTAAAAGAAGAACAAAATAGGAAAAACTATTTCAATAGAGAATGCAAAACAAAAAGCGAATATTAATAAACTGCCATCACCAGAAAAAGTCTCTAGGATAATACCTCTTTCAATTGTAGAGTCTGCTTCCTTTTTTAATTTGGAATATTTAACACTGTTTTGCTATGTGACAGCAGTATCTGTATCATGTTTGTAACAAAGAAATGCATACGTTTTAAATATTTTTTTTTTTTTGAGACGGAGTTTCGCTCTTGTTACCCAGGCTGGAGTGCAATGGCGCGATCTCGGCTCACCGCAACCTCCGCCTCCTGGGTTCAGGCAATTCTCCTGCCTCAGCCTCCTGAGTAGCTGGGATTACAGGCACGCACCACCATGCCCAGCTAATTTTTTGTAGTTTTAGTAGCGACGGGGTTTCACCATGTTGACCAGGATGGTCTCGATCTCTTGACCTCGTGATCCACCTGCCTCAGCCTCCCAAAGTGCTGGGATTACAGGCTTGAGCCACCGCGCCCGGCCCGTTTTAAATATTTTTAATATAAATATAGAAAAAGTATTAATTCTAGACCAAAATCTAACAGTAAGTTACCTCTGAGTAATACAGTTACTGGAGGTTTTACTTTCTTCTGTGTATTTGTTTTTTGTAAATTCTTCATGGTAAACATGTGATGCTAGTTTTATGGTTAAAAACTCCCACAAGTTATTATTATTATTATTTTTAAAGAGAATGGCATTTAAACAGGAATCCATCTTAAAATGCAACAATGAACATCTAACACCTTTTCTACAAATTAACTTAAAAAAAAGTCTTTTTTTCGAGCAGAGGTCTCGCCCTGTCACCCAGGCTGGAGTGCAGTGGCACAGTCATGGCTCACGGCAGCCTCGAACTCCTGGGCTCAAGCCATCCTTCCGTCTGAGTCTCTCAGGTAGCTGGGACCACAGGCATGTACCACCATGCCAGGCTCATTATTTATGTTTTTCGAGATGGGGTCTCACACCGTCACTCAGGCTTGTCTCAAACTCCTGGGCTCAAGTGATCTTCCCACCTCAGCCTCTTCAGTTACTGGAATTTAGCCATAAGCCATTGCTCTTGGTATTATTATTATTTTTTAATTAAATTTGAACCCCACTACAGTCAATGCATTTACCTTGTTTTTTTAAATCATTATTTATTAATTATTCCATTGCTTCCCTCAAATGAACAAATATACCCAGCATCATGTAGGCATGAGGCAATAGCTAGGCATTTGATAAACGAGTCAGCTGCATGAACTCTCACAGACCAACTTAGAATCTGGTGACTGGAAGGCCAGGCCTGGTCTCCAATTATATATCAGAGCAGGAGAAAACATTAATTCCAGATTGAGTTTTGATGGCATTGGCAGAACACTGGGCAGTCTGGTTTCCAGAGGGTCCGTGCAAGTGCCATCTACATGGGATGTCCTCCGGTTCCCCACATCCCTCAACCCCGTTTACAGGCATTTTCAAACTTACGACATAATCACAGAAGAGAATGAGAGCCCCTCTTCGTACTATTTCTCTATTGCACATTCCAAGTTTGGCTGCCAAGTCAGAATCCTCCTCTTCTCCAGACATCTGAGGACTAAGTAACTTCGTGCTGGACAGACTGTGTCTTCTAGAAGGAGCAACAGATGCACTGACAATGTTTCTGGATGGAAGTGAGCTTATTTGCAAAATACGGAAGATGATTATGTTTCATTCTAGTTCTAAAACAGACAAGTTGTTTTAAATACTGCCATATCAGAACGTTGTATGTGTTAATATATACTTGCAGTCATCTATTCCTAAGCTACAATAAACCACACAGGAAAAACTAAAAGAAACAGAGAATTTAACAGGCAGAAAATTAAAATGCTTGCCTGAATGGCAAAATCCACCATAAAGCTGCACATTCAGCCAGCACCTTTAATTCAGACCTCATACTGGCTATGTTTGATAATTCAGCAATTTGCTTTTGAAACTCTCCATCTGCCATGAAAGTTGTCAACTGCCAGAAAGAAAACCTCCCTGCTTTCATGTTTTACTGTTCATTTTCCAGTGAAACATCAGCACTCTAAACATGCTCAGGAGCATGCTTACGCTCTGGAAACCCTGTTTAAAAACGCTTCTTCCCCAATGATAATGTTTATTTCACTTTACATTTACTTCTTCTCACTACATATTTTTTTCTTTTTGAATAGGTGGGAATTACCAACCTTGAGACTCTTGGCTCTAGTCCATACACTTAAAATGTTGACATATTCCCAAACTGCCCCTCTGACCTTCAGAGTCTCAACTAGGATGACATCCTTCCCATCGCAGTAAAGAGCCTTAACAGGGAGAGAGGTCACGTCAAGCTAAGAATATTCTGAAATACAACTTTTCCTGTAATCCCTAAGGATTTAGAAGAGGACTAGTAAAAAATAAAACTCTACAGATTTAAACTTTTTACTAACTGCCTTTTCTCTGTTTCCCAACAGGTGAATTGAAGGTAAACTAGAGCACAGCCATACAAGCTCAGCAGTCGCAAGGAGCAAGCCACTGCGCAGTGCGTGACGGAAATCTGCAGACACTGCTCACCAAAAGGGGCCAGACTCAAAAGGCTGCACACTGCGTGCTTCCATTTCTTTCTTAATTTTTCCCCAGAGACAAGGTCTTGCTCTGTCACCAGGCTGGAGCACAGTGGAGCAGATCATAGCTCACTGTAACCTCAAATTCTTGAACTCAAGTGAGCCTCCTGCCTCAGCCTCCCAAGTAGCTGGAACTATAGTGATGCACTTGTAATTTTTAAGTTCTTTTCCTGGAGATGGGGTCTTGCTAGACCACCCAGCGTGGTATCGAACTCCTAGCCTCAAGTGATCCTCCCACTTTAGCCTCTCAAAACACTGGGATTACAGGCATGAGCCACCACACCCAGCCTATAGATTCTATTTTTATGGCCTTCTGCAATGTGGGCTGAACAGAGGGACAGAGCACGGATTGGTGGTTAGACCTGGGGAGAGGTGGGACATGGCAGAGGAAGAAGGAACTGTTTGAAGTGACAGCACTGCTCTCTAGCTTCATGTGTTCGGGGGCAGGGAGGGTTACTGACTACAGTTGGACAAAACTACATTTTACTGTATTGTAAATTACGTGTCAATGTGAAAACTAACCAATAGGAAACCTGCCCTTTCTCAGTAGGCCATCCTGCCAGCCCCCGTGTGACTTACACTCAAGCTGTAATTGTGCACTTTGCAGTAATATAGCTATAGGGTAATGAGCCTCTGAAAGAGAAGAGGCAGCATTTGCAATTCAAATATTAGCAGTAGACGTAAAAAAGGTCCAGTGTCAACTCAAATTCAGCTCCAATTTGTAGCAGCATTAAGTCTCCCAAATCCCAGGCCATACACCGCCACGTGCCAGTGGCAAATGTCCCAAATCCAGGGTGACTCAGAACAAGATGAGCTGGGAAGTGACCAACACGTCATGTGTACCACAACACACCCACGAGTGCAGAAGTATAGGCAGGACTCTAACAATTCACAAAAAGTAAGACAGATCGAGAGCGAATCATAAACCCACAGTGACAGAGTCCATAAGAAAGGGGCTAGGCCAGGGCAGAGCCGCACAGGGACCTCCAGGAGCAGAGTACCCAGTGTCACCTGGAGCCAGCTCCCCTCTCGGAGCCAGCCTGGGCGGACACGTGCACAAACTAAGACGGGGTTAAGGGTAAGCAGCAGGAATGTCTGCAACTGGATAGAGCAATTTTATAGCTGCTGAGTCTACAGGTAAAAAGAACAGCTGTGTTTTGTGTTTCATACTTCTAGTAATTCATTTTTCTCATCTTATGAAAATATACTCATCCCCCACCCCCAAAGCTGAAAAAACACAGTCCTAAGGGCAGGGGTTTAAGCCAGAACACTTCTGCTCTCTGTGGGCATCCTGGACATTTATGAGGATTTTCCCCTTTCACCATAGGGAGACCCTAGACACTCGCATTCTAAACTGCTTATGACATACTATCTTAATTTTACCTTTACGTTACCATTAAAAAACAGTATTTTTTTGAAATTTAAGTATTAGGTTAAAAATCCATTGATCCATTATTATTATTTGGAGATGGAGGCTCACTCTGTCCCCCAGGCTAGAGTGCAGTGGCGCAGTCTCAGCTCACTGTTACCTTTGCCTCCTTGGCTCAGGCGATTCTCCTGCCTCAGCCTTCTGAGCAGCTGGGAGTACAGGCACCCGCCACCAGGCTCAGTTAATGTTTGTATTTTCAGTAGAGACAGGGTTTCACCATGTTGGCCAGGCTGGTTTCGAACTCCTGGCCTCAGGTGATCCGCCTGCCTTGGCCTCCCAAGGTGCTGGGATTACAGGCATGAGCCACCATGCCCGGCCTGATCCATTAATGTTATTTCAGGATAACAGAAGGAACAATACAGAAGGTTATAAAGGAAAACGCATTCAGAGGGGGTCAAGAAACAGTCACAGAATTTACAAAAGGCAGTAGTTTGCCCTCAGAGGGCTGAATGAAGATGCCTGCCGAATGCCAAACTAAATTTACCTTTGATTTATTTCTTTTAAACACTGACTATCTAGTTAAGCATTTCTGTTATTTCAACTCAGGAGACACAATTCCCAGACCTGGAGCTTTCTGATATAACATCAGAATAAGCGGGCACATCGTCAGAAAAGGAGCAATCTGCTGACTCGGCAGCTGATTTCCTTGCACGCTAAAGCAGCACAGAACTAGAAGACACTGACTTTCTGTCTGCTGCCCCCACAGTGCCCAGTCATCATGACAGGCCTAAGGCATCCTCCACACATTTCAAATGTTATCACAGTTCTGTCTCCTCCAACAGGATGATCAGACCCCACTATACAGAGCACAGAGTGGATGGCTAAGAAGGCCTCCCAGCAGTGGGTTTCCAGCTGAGTGCCACGGACTGGCGCTACTGGGAGCCCTGGCCTCACATGGCCCAGTATCCACACTGAGCAGACAGGCACTATAGCACCTGCAGTCTTTTCTCTCTGGAACTTCCTCTCCCCAGTGTGGGGTCTTGAGCCTTCCAGAAACACTATGCTGAAGATTCGGCTCAGGGGTGGGGGGGTCACAGCTCTTATTCCCATGCATATACAAATAACTGAGTGATAGAACATCTAGAAATGGAGCTTAAGCCTGAAAGCTGTTTGCAAAAAGAGGGCCACCCATAAAGAGAAACTTAGTAATCCTTTTTGAATAGTAAGATAATATTTCCAAGCAGTTTTGAAATTTGCTAAATACTTACTTCATTATCTAAGAATACCCAGAACCACATGTAATTCATAATGAAGTTAAGACAGTGCAACCCGCCTGGCTACAAAACCAATTTACAGACTCTAGAACTTAGTAGGAGCCACACAGCATGATAAGAATATCCCACAAGATGGAACGGTGTCAGAGAACTTGCCAAAGAAAATCACATTTCAAAAGCAGCCGCTACTCTGAATGCCTGTAGCTGGACCGCATGTTGTCCCTACAGTGTGCTGCCCATGAAAGGAAGATTGGTATGCGGCAGAAATTTTACAAGCCCTCGCAAAAAACGGAAAATGAAAATGCCTTAACGGTGGCCAAACCTCAGGTTGCTGGGAGTCTCAGGACAGTGCTGGGCTGGTGCCCTGGGCTACGGGCACTGGAAACCTACTTTGGGGTCTGCTGCACTTCTGCCCACCAGCGGTAGTCGGTGTGGTTGACAAGCAGCAGGATCTGACACCAGAGCAGCACCAGGGTCGGGTGGGTGGTGATCATGGAACGCGCCTGTAAGTTCAAGCTCTCCAGGGTGTAGAAACTGCCACCACAGCCATCACTGCGGAACAGTCTAGTGGCAGCTGCTGTGATTCTCCGGAACATTCCTAGAACCAAATAAAGTTAAGACTTATTAAGGAGAAACCTCTTTGCTTTCATCTCGGTCCAGTGCCACATGGCTATGTGAAGATTTTTACACAGAACAGACACAGGCTGAGCCGTTTCCCATACTTACATATTCAAAGCACCTGGCATTTAGAAAATTCTGATTTTTCTAGGCAGAAACAGATATCCCACTTATTTAATGGACTGGTCAAGAAAGCTAGCATTCCTCCTCTCCCACTGTCTACCGCTGCAGTGGTTGGCAATGCCAAGCCCTCCAGGAGCTCCAGGCGAAAATCTGAACACAGCTCCCCAACAAGGAGGCAGGGAACACTCAGCGCCTTGAATCACCACACTTGGGCCACAGCGGGGTCCCCACAGGACTGAGCCACAGCTAGACAGGCAGGAGTGGCACCCTGCACCTGCCAAACTGAACAGCTCCTGCGCTTGCTAAGAACTGAAGATCAGAAATGCTGTAAGAGGCCAGGTGAGCAGGCAGGACAGGTGCTGAAAGAACATGGCAGCCCCCTGCGGTTTAGGCTGTGTGTTCTCTGCAGGCTCCTGACACCTGATAGCCAAGGGGTCTGTGCCTGGCCATGGAACATCCTGGGCCTGGACAGGCCAAGTGGCAGTCTGCCCACACGCAACACTGGCACCTCAGCAACATACTCAGTTAGAGTCTACCCACAGGTTTCTCCACAGCACCCTTCTCAGGCTCCAGGTAGCATGACTTCATTCTATCCTCTCCTTTGGACAAACACAGAGTCAAAGGCAGAGAGACAGGCACAGGCTGCAAAGCATAGCAGGGAGAGGCAGCAAGACCCAGGAAACAGAGAAAGGCCCATCTGGCTAAGGTTGCCCACTCCCCAGAGCTGGTCCTCCTGGCATCTCACTGCTGGCTCACAATTTTATTTCTGATTTCAAATTTCAGGCCAGGTGTAGTGGCTCATGCCTATAATCCCAACACTTTGGAAGGCTAAGGCCGGTGGATCACTTGAAGTCAGGAGTTTGAGGCTAGCCTGGCCAACATGGTAAAGCCCTGTCTCTAATAAAAATATAAAAATTGGCTGGGTGTGGTGGCAGGTGCCTGTAATCCCAGCTACTCAGGAGGCTGAGGCATGGGAATTGCTTGAACCCGGGAGGCAGAGGTTGCAGAGAGCCAAGATCGTGCCACTGCACTCCGGCCTGGGCAATGGAGCAAGACTCTACCTCAAAAAAGAAAAAGAAAAAAACAAAAAACAAAAAACTCAAAACCTCCCCAAAGTGAAAGGGTCCTAAAACAGGCAACAATGGAGTATGTAAGCTTTTTAGGGCTCCACAATGCCTTAAACTACAGCCTGAGACCAAGGAAGACTGCTAACAAATGCAGCACGCTCAGAGAATACAGGCCTAGTCACAACGAGGAGTTCTAACTGGCCACTCCGGGGTTCCCAGGATTTCTCTACACTTGTTTCAGTCAGTATCGTCCCCTCCAGCCCATTCTGCAGTGGCCTCGTCCTTCTGTGGGGCCCTCTGTTCCTGCATGGGTCCCTTGAGTGAAGAGGCATGCACTGCTTTCAAGTAAGACTGCAGCCAGGCCACGGAGCACGTGCACAGAGCTGGGAGGTGGGGGTTTTGAACAGGTAATAGAAACCCACAATCCGAGCTGTGTTCTAGATGGCTGTGTCAACACAGGCTCTGAATCAGGCTGCCTGGTCAGATCGTGGCTCTACTGTTTACTACCTGGGTGACCTTGGATGCCCCTCACCCGGGGTCTCAGCTTCCTCAGGTGTAAGTTGGAATTAAGAGCAGTAACTTTTTGCAGGGCCGCAATAAGGAGCAAACAGGAGAACCCAGGTAAAGGGCTCAGCACTGCACAGGGCAAGGAGGAAGTCCTCAGCCCCTGCGGCGCCGGCGGAGGCTGCTAGAGCCTATTAGGGAAATTCAGATGGAAGATGAGACAGACTCTGAGGGCCACCTCCCAGTAGATGGAGAGGAGGAGGTCAGGTCAGGGTCCCTGTGGTAGGGGGAGGAGGAGCTGACAATGATGCTGGGATTCTGAACATCCCAAATGATCTCATTAACAAGAAGAGGCCCTGGAAAGTAACAGTGGTGCCAGTTCCATTTTAAGTGCAAGCAAGTCTGAGGTACTGGCAGGACAAGTCCCATGTCGAGAAGCTGGAGGCCAGGACTACACGGACCAGCAAGAGAGTCGTCCATGAGAGCAACAGCCAAGCTCACAAAGGGGATGGACCTACAAAGACCAAGGAGCAAGAGGACAGAGGCCACAGAGAGACAGTGACGAGAGACCACGGACAGCAACTCGGGGAACACAATCAATTAAGTGGCTGGACAGAGAGAACCCTGCAGAGGCAAGCTGCCACGGCGTGAGAAACAAGACGGAAACAAACCAGCAGGGGCAGCGAGAATGGAGTGTGCACAGAGGGAGGGACCCCTAATGAAGAAGCAGGAGAGCACAGGAAGTGCTGGCTTGTTTTTAATTTAAGGCTGGCTTAGTGTGGCTATCAGCGTGCAAGAGAGCAGCTACAGCCAGAAAAACAAACACAAGACATACATGTTTTGCTATGCTAAGTATGCATGGATTTTTTTTTTTTTTTTTTTGAGACAGGGTCTCACTCTGTTGTCCAGACTGGAGTACAGTGACACAATCACAGCCCCCTGTAGCCTTGGCCTCCGGGGCTTAATCGATCCTCCTGTCTCAGGCTCCTGAGTAACTGGGAGTATAGGTGTGTACCACCATGCCCTGCTAATTTTTGTATTTTCTGTAGAAACAGGATTTCACCATGTTACTCAGGCTAATCTCGAACCCCTGGGCTCAAGCAATCTGCCCGCCTTGGCTTCCCAAAGTGCACAGGATTACAGGTGTGAGCCACCACACCTGGCCTGCAATGCATGTTTTTAAATAAGCATCAAAGGCAAAATTCAATTACAGAGAACCCAGAGGATGTTGTGTAAGGAAGCAGACAAAAGAGGAGCGAGGAAGCCGGCAGGAGTGTGACGCTGAGCTTGGGGATAGAACAAAAGTCCCCTGTTCTAACGGGACGTTACAAGGAACCCAGGGCCCCTTCCAGGTGGAGAGGAGGCAAAGCTGGACAGAGGCTCATGAAAAGGGTTCGTGACTCTCTCTGCGGAGAGTGAAGCAGACTCCTGCTGGGCATGATGTGGACACAGCAGAATAGCAAAGGCTGTAGAGGGCACTGCATTCCCAGCGGCTCATTCTGAAGGCACCACTAATCCCATGGTGACACCTGCCTGGTCCCCTCTTTCCAAGGGTTCCCCTGACTTTCCTCATCCTGGAATGACCGGTTTTTATCCTCACAGAAAACACAGCAGAGACCACGGTGCTGCTGCTGGGAAGCAGCAGGATGACATCTCCCGGTCCCTTTGTACAGGGTGGGGCTGTGACCCACCACTACCAGAGAACACCAGCAAAGGCACGCATGTCGCTTTAAGTCCAAGGCCACAAAGCCTTCTTCTCTACCTTCCTCTCCTTGTCCCCAACCAGACACAGGGGATGTGGAGGGCTGGAGAGGAGAACCAGAAGAAGGAAAGGAGCCTGGGTCCCCAAATTCCCACACAGAGGAAAACCACCTGTGAGCCAGTAACACCCTCAATGCACTGTCATAAAACCAAGAAAGAGCCTTCCATGGTGTGAAGCCATGGAAATGTTGGTTTATTTGTTACAGTAGCTAACATTACCTAACAAAGGCAACAGCGGCATTGAGGACATGGCTGAGATTAGAAGATGCTTCTCGGTGGACCCTCCCTTCCTAGGGTCCCGGGCAGTGATGACTAGCAGTCTAAGACAGAAAGAAGGCAGAGCCTGTGGATCACAAGGGTGACACCCGGGAAGCCAAAGGGCCTTGGGGGAGGAGAAAGGGGCCAAGTGCCCGGAGACCACAATGGCAGTGCAGAAAAGCAGGGGGCAGGACGGCAGACGCAGACTGTGCCCAGAGAAGCAGGTACAGCTAAACCCAGCAAATCCCCAGGCCCTGTTTTTGTGAGCTAAACAAAGAAATACTGAAAGGAACAATGGAAGCAGGAATTGGAAATAAAGAATGCTGTTTTCAAAACAGGCAGGATGTGGGATCGCACCCCAACTCCAGCATCAAAAACTCCTAGGGCAGTGACCTCTCTGGGCTGAGCTTGTTCAGCTATGACGTGGAGAGAACCATCTCTTCTCCATGCCACACAGTGACTGGGCCCATGGTGGGTATTCTGCAAGTGCCAGCAGCCACACTCACCACTACCAACCCAAGAAGTGGTCTGATGAGAGAAAGAATGACAGGCAGGAAAGAATGCTTGGGTTTTCATTCCTGGTTTTGGCAAAGGATCTTTTAGAACCTAAGCAGAAAGGGGGAAATACTTCACAGAGCTGTCCTAAGAATTAACTGGGATAATGAAAATTAAAGTACTGCACGCCCTTTAGAGAATTCCATTGCTCCCAGCATTATGATTGTTAGTAGTCCTGTCCTTGCACAAGCATAAACTTCAATCCGCGTCAACTTTATTACTATAGAAAGGACCATTTCCTCTCTCTTCCAGTGTTCCTGCTTGCCCCATAAAGTGGAGCCACTGACCCTTTTGAAGGGACAGAGAAAAGGGCTGCTGTGCAGCCATCCCCTCTGCCACAAAGGAAGGGGTGGGCATGCTTCCATGAGGGTCATAGGAAGACGTGGGTGCACTTCCGTGAAGGACATAGGAAGGGGTGGGTGTGCGTCCGTGAGGGTCATAGGAAGGGGCGGGCAAGCTTCCGTTAGGGTCATAGGAAGGGGTGAGCGAGCTTCCGTGAGGGTCATAGCATGTCTCCACCACCCACCAGGACTCAGAGAGGAAGGGGCAGCAGCTCCTGCCACCCTGACTGGGTAAGGTCTGGATGGCAGGCTGTGTTGAGGGTACAGGCCAGACAGTTCTAATCCAGCTTCATGGACAACAAACAGAGCTGATGCTTCCACTCCCTGGGCCTCCGGTTCCACCATCTGTTTCTAAACCAGTCCATCCTGGA